ATCCGACACCCAGTGAAGTATCATAATCGAGTCTAGGGGTCAGGTGTAACTTTCCAGTTTTGCCCATCAATCTCCAAGGTCTAGGGAAAAACCGGAAATCTGGTCCAGTTCAAAGATTCGAGTAATCCCACACTGCATGTGCCTCGGGTCTCACCCTGGCGGTTGAGACAGGCCACCCCAACAGTTGGTGGCACACCAGTGTCAGCCTTGGCAGGATAAATCTCCCCAGACTTATCCAATGGCTGTGAAAATTTAAAACTAACACGAGTCTCAATAAGTATCCAGTTTTAGGGTCTTACACAGAAACACACCGCATAACATGAATCAAACATGCACTTTATTCATTTACACCAAATATCAGAAGTACATCAAAACTGATTGAAGCTAAGGGCATACAAAAATTGTCCAACAATATACACACCACCAATGTTTTAAAACGTGAAGGCGTGACACGAGGCATTCTACTACCTAGAGGCATGAGGCGTAGCTCATAATGCAAGTGGCGTAAGCCTCCCGAACACAAGGAGGCGTAAGCCTCCTTAAGAGGAGGGGGGATCTCATTTTTCTTTATTTTTAATAAAAATCTTTTATATTAAGAAGAATAAAGATGCATAACATTAGTTGAAAGGGGGGGTCTGGGCAGTCGAAGAGGCAAGGGACAAACCACTTTCTTTCCCCTTATCTTTTCTTCCCTTCCCTTTCCTTTCCTTTTCTTTTCTTTTCTTTCCTTTTCTCTTTTTTTTTTCTTTTCTTTCTTTTTCTTTCCCTTCCCTTTCTTTCCCTTTCCTTTCCTTTCCTTTTTTTCTCTTTTTTTTTTTCCTGTCATTTTATATAAGATGTGCATGAGGCGTATGCCTCTAGTACACCTCATGAAAAAAGCGCAAGAGGCGTACACCTCTTGAACCTGAGGCATATGCCTCAGAGGTGTTAGCGCCTTTGGCATACGCCTCAGGGTGTACGCCTCCCACGCCTTTTAAAACACTGCACACTACACACACATATATATACACATATATATACACATATATATATATATATATACATGTATGAATTAGTGTATTGCTAATGTGGAACGACCTGACCCATTTGACCAGAATGGTCGAACTGGTGACTCGTAACCTGGAGGTAAAAACAGTTTGGCCTCCAGGTTGGTTTTTAAAACACTACTCTTATGTATGTATTTTATATTTTTATATTACTTTTAGTTTTTATCAATATTAGTTTTTTTTTAAATTTACTATTAGTATTATTATTATTGTTTAATTATTTTAATTATTATTAATGTTTTTAAAATTTTAATCAATATTAACTTTTAGTTTTTATTTTTTTTTAATAATATCAAAGGGATTCTTTTTTATTTTTATCACATGTTAAATTAATTCATACTATTGATTTGCGTTTTGCCTAAAAACACCAAAAAATTTTACTCTTGATCAATGACGTAGATCACCTCACATTGTGTATGTGAGATGGACGGAATCAAAATACAAGGTGTGGCCTGAACCACACAACACTTTGTAGAACACTTGTATATAGGGGTGGTGTGGTTTAGGCTAGTAAATTTTGACCGCAGTAAAGAACGCCTATTCTGCTATGGTGTGAACCACACCACACCTGTGGTGTAGTTGAAAACACACCACCCAATTTCTCAACCCCACAATGGAACACCCCCTTAGTTGTTTATTTATATATTTTCTATATGCAGTTATATGCTCCCCATCTTTATTTTTAATTGTTCCAGGCTGCTGTTTTGTTTTTTCTATTTGTCACAGTCGACAGGGTAATTTGGTCTTTGTACCCTCTTTTATTATGTCGTATATAAAAGCCAATGAGGGGGGCGGCAGAACCTGATTGTTCTATGTATTTTCTGTAGTTTTTGTTTTTTTTTTCTGTATTCTGTATATTTTATCTACTTGTACATATTTTTATTTTGTTTATGACATCATTAGTGACCTCTTTGGCCTGGATGATTGAACCTCTGATCCACCACTTGGATTGAAAAGTGGTTCCGTTTCCAGGTGAGCTTTTAAAACACTGTCATTAACATCTTCAATATGAGACTTTGTTGTTGCAACTTGCAACCACATCAACAGCTTGCCTCATAACTTCAATTTACTCAACCACTACATTGTCTTCAACCTTGACCTCAAGCTGATCATGAGTGTGAATCTACCTTTTGCAGCAATGTCTACCTTTTCTTGGCTTGCACCTTCTTGAATTTCAATTCTACTGTTGACTATTCAACATCAGTCAATTGATGATCTTGTTTCCTTTTATTTACAATTTGAAAGGTAACTTAATTTGGCAATTTAGCTGCTTATCAGACCGTTCTACATATGCGACCATAAGGTTGAACTCGATGCTCTTTAGGTGTTCAAGTAAAAAAATATTGATTTATTGCTTGAGGATTCTTTTAGTGTTGCTTAGAATTCACTATTTTCTTTTGGTTTGTTTTTTCCCATTATTTTGGACTAATGTTGTTTTTTATGAAATTACTGATGGTACATGCTATGAGCTATATATTGTTTACATGCATTTTTCATTCTTCATAAAACCGGCTAAATTTTTATTTGTTTGTTGAGATAACATCAATAGATGTTATGGCCCTATTGTCTTCATTGTCTCTAATGTTTTTCATCATGTATGAAATAGGGTGTTGATATTCAACTAGGAATGGCGATTGATAGTACCAAGGCCACACTGGCAGTGAAACGGAGACTTGCATGTGAGATGGTGAAGTACTGGCATCAGGTATGGTACACCCTATTTTCATTGTTGATGAAACTCTTAACAATCTCAAGGTCTTCATGCATTTCCATCTGTTTGTTGAAAACTCCATTTGGTCAGGTGAGGTGAGTAGATTCCTATGTCACAAAAATGGATAAGTAAATATATACATATTTTTTAATGTGAGGTGGGTCTTGGCACAACGGTTGGGTTGCTCCCTTTCGAGCTGGGTGACTAGGGTTCAAATCTTGGAAACAGCTTCTCTGTATGTGCAGGGGTAAGGCTGCATACATATGTCCCTTCCTTGTGCACTGGGCTGCCCTATACACATTTTTTAATGTGCACAATGACTATGAATAGTTTTATGAAATTTCATATTAATCATAAAATATTAAGCCACAAGTTGAATCAGTAAATGATGAAAAATGGCAACTTTACCTGATTTGCAGAAATACATGATTTATGAATGACCTCCCTATGTTAAGGGAGAAAACATGTGTAGAAGGATTAAGAATATGAACCTTTAGGTTTACATACACTTACTTGTAACCAGAAAACATGTTTGATAAGAAATAAAAATAGAAGAGAAGAAGAGAGATACAAAAGAAAGAGAAGAGAAGCAACTCTAGATAGAAGAAAACAGTATTGTTGCTATTGGTTTCTCTTTCTTGTATTTATAAATCTAGTTACATTAAGTATAAAAAAGACATAAATATCTTACCATTAATAAGGACAAAATAACCCCTAAAACCATCAACTAAGATAATTTTTTTTTTCCCTTTAGGCACTTCTCAAGCTGAGCATAAATGCTATTCATGCACAGTTTGCCAAGATTATCTTCAATGTAGTTTTGGACCTTCTAGTGAAGATATCAACTTGTTATTGACTAGATTTTTACAAAAGGTAGGCAAACCTCTCCACAAGAAGTTTTCTCTTGAACAAAAGGTTGATCTACTTCAATATGTTTTCTCCAGTAACATTGTATTGGATCATGAGCTATATTAATAGATTCATTGTTATCATAATAAAATCTTAAGGGACCATTAACACAGACCCAACTACCTTAGAGTTTTTAGATGCAGTAACTCAGAAACACCATGCACCATAGCATGATAATTTGTTATGGCACTAGGCCGCTACAACAGACTGCCTCTTACTACTCCACATTACAAGATCCCTAATCACAAATTTGCAATAATTGGGAGCGGACCTTTTATCATCCATACAACTAACTCAGTCTACATCAATATAAGCTTCTGGTTTAAGATTTTCATGTGAGTTCTTCAAATAATAGAGAATATGGTCATCTGCCTCTAAGTGTGGAACTAGGAACGTCGATGGACTCCAAAAGTCTGATACCCTATTCAGCTTTGAATTCGATAATCCCCGGTTTGGATGTTACTTGCATCCAGTTATTAATCAGATTGATGCAGATTTAATCCCATCTGATCTGATTAAAATTCAAGTCCAATAAAAGTTATTATTTATGTATATGTGTAGTATAATTATGTATATATATTATATAATTATATAAAGTTTATATAATTGATAATTGGATGTGGATGCGTATGTAGTTGGATCAATTTTGAATCTGATCTGATTACAGTACTATGTGGAACCTTTGTATTGATGCATATTGGGTTATCAAACTATTATATGATTATATCTAGTCTCATGCACAAATAGAGCAATTAACCCACAAACATCTAAAAGCTTCTTTTTCACTAATATGTTATCCCTCATTGTCATTAATCTTGCTTTAGGATCTATAAGAGTATCTACTAGCTTCACTCAAAGCTTACCTATATCCTTCAACAAGCTTAAAACATATTTTCCTAACAAATGAAGATTCCCCTCTTATATCGAGCAGCCTTGATACTCAAGAAATACTTCAGGTAACTAGGGTCCTTAATTTCAAACACTGATGTGCTAGAATGTACTTGAACTTGCAAAATTTAGGCTGTTTATTCCTTGATCACTCTATTATATCTACAAATATAAATTATTGAAGTTAGAAAATCCTCAGTTCACTTGATAAACAATATATGATTAGAATGAGACTATTTAAAACCAAACTTTTGAACAATATTGCTGAACCTTTCAAAAAGGAGAAGCAATCTGTAGCAAGCTGAAGGGGTAGAAGGGCTAGGAGCAGAGCAAAGGACTAGGGTTGAAGTAGTAATAACTGATTTTAAGCGCTCATAATTTAACAATGGATATAGCACTAAACAGAATGGAATGGCAAGATAAGATTTGTGTGGCTCAACCCATAAAGTTTAGACAAGGTTGGATGATGGTGATGATGATGATTGTTCAAACTTTCAAACCAAGCTTGAAATTGCTATTTCAACAGGGTAGTAAAAAATTGAAAAACAAAACTTCAAATATCCCCCGAAATATGGTGATCCTGATGCTCATAACTTCTTTTCTCATGTTTCTCAACTTACCACTTGACTCATGACCTAAATCATATGGTTTCTAGGATTTGAGCTTGTAGAAGAGAACAAATACAGCAGATGAGAGGCTCTGATACCAATTTGAGCTCAGAAATATATTTGATAAAATATAGAAACAGAAGAAAAGAAGATAGATATAAGAGAACAAAGTAGATAGAAACTCTTTATACAAGAAAAGAAAACTATATTGAAGCCGTCAGTTGTTCTTGTATTTGTCAGTCTAGATACATTATTAATTGTTAAAAACCTATTTACCCCTCATAAGTTGTCAGAAATCTGAAAAAGACACATAGCCTACCATGAATCAGACAAAACATACTTCCCAAAACTACCAATAAACATAAATTATTTTCTCTTTTCAATACACTTAGGCTGAAATGGGTGCACACTCGTCAATATATAAAGGGAATATAATTAGTTACTCGCCTAGCTGGACATATGGTTGGGACAAGGCTTAGATGATAATTATGATGATGAATTAGTTACTTGCCTCCATTAGGATGCTTATATCTATACTCCTTTCCGATCTGGTTGCATAGTGATGGTCCTAATGAACCTCTAAAATGCCTAAGCAGTTGCATAGTTGATGCCTAGGTGATGTTTTAATTACACTGGTTGAATTACTTATCAATAAAAGGTAAACCCACATTGGTTGAATCATGATTTTATATAAAATAGTTAAGCTAAAATAAAAAGAAGCGCAGAAGATATGTAGAACTAAGAAGAGTGGGGGAAAGATGAAAGAAATACAGAAAAGCTAAAAGTGTCATTTCTTGAATTTATTAGAGTTCTGTTAACAGAGTTGGTTGTGATTGTTTGAGGAAAAGGAAGAAAAAGAAAGAAAGAAACAAAAAGAAATTATTCAAGTCAATGATCCACATTTCCATTTTGAGGCCTTATTCAAAAATGGAACTACAGGAAACCTTGAAATCATCTCATGGTATCATAGATGAAATAATGTTATTTATTTATTTATTTTTGATCAATAAATAATGTTTTTTATTCCCGATACCAAATTAGTTTGGCTTGGCATAAAAGAACTATATAAAGAACAGATTCCCACAACTGTTTTTGATGTTGATCCTTTCAAAATTTAGGCCAAATTTTCTGATTCATTTGGTTGAATGGAATATCTATTAGCATTTGCATTGCTAGGTGATTTCCAATATCTATTGTATGATTTGTCACTTGTCTGTTTGTTGTTTTAATTGCTCCTCATACACATATGATTTGATTCTGGATTTGTGTTTCTTTATCCATTGTAATTTGTAAATCTTGCTTTATCTTCTAGACTACCTACTGCTAGGAATGATGATGGATTTTTTTTGGCATTGGTTACTGTCAATAAAAGTTATCCAGCCTTGCTACTAAAGTAGGCTATAATTTGAAGAACCATATCCACCCCCCACGATGAGTTGGCAGTATTGGAAATTACAAGTCAGGAAACTTAATACTTGCATCTTTATTCCCCCAATAAAGTTGGACTTTTGCCACTTACTAGCAATTTAATAAACAGTCAAATTAGCTGATGCAAAACAGTTGAATAAGGGCCTTGTTGAATATTTGGAGTTACAATTTGTTACCTAGATCTCTGACCTGCCTAGTATCTCAATTTTTTTTTCAATTATTTTTTCTGAGCTTGTGAATGTATTTAATGTCACTTCTCATTAGGAACGTCACTTGACTGACTTACCTGGCTCTAGTTGTTGTACAACCTGGTTAGACTCTCCCATCCCTGTGACATATTTCTCAGGTCTGGATTGGGAATTACTGCATTAGCTAAGTGCATGTCTGGAATACATTAGATCAAAGCTGTCTATCCTATTCAGTGTTTTCTGTTCTATTATTGATCATTATATTCAGTTTTATCAGTCTCTGAAAGATGAAGATGTAGTGTTCCCACCATGAACTTAATTATTATCTCTATTTCTTTCAGGCTGAGGATAACATTATCAATCTTCCATTAGCAAATGGTTGGGGTGAAAAGCATCAACTCTATGTCAAGTGGAAACACAATGAAGCTAAGGTATCTTTCATTATATACAGTGCTTCCTTTATTATATTGTTTTTTCATGCTAATATATACTAATTCCAATTTCCTACCTATTTATACCATGCTTGCCACTATTATTTAATCAGTTCTTGTCATTTCTTTGAATCCTTTTAGTTTTTATTATGTATTGAAGTTTTTTGAAGCAACATGGGACCTTTTTAATCTTCCAAAGGGAAAGAAACCAATGGGTTGTTGAAAATGATGAGAGATCCATCATATGGATGGCCGAACCCTGTAGGAAGGTTGGGCGAAATTTAAAAAATTTCTTTCTCCCATGTGGGAATCGCATTCCCTATTTCAGAAAACTGCATTTTCAAGGATCAATCTTGAAACCAAACCGGACCAGATCTGAAACCAAAAGGGAGTAGAGGGATATACCTGATACGGAGTAATAGTAAACCCCCAATGAAGGTGTTCATGCCCAAGGAGAAGACCAAAGACTGCTTCCACCGAAGATGACATGGTGTGAGGCGAAGCAGAATCAGCAGGACGGCTCTTTAGAAAGAACTGAATTCTTCAACAAGAATATGATGGAGGGCTGGTGAGCACGACTTCAGATTGCCTCTTCTAGCAAAAGGCAATATCAAGAACCGTTCTTGATCACTCCCATTGGTGGAGATCGAACTGGGTAGGGGTGGCAAGAGCAGGAAAGAAAAGAGCAGAAGACAAGAGCAGTCAAACTGTATTGTCTCTCTCTGTAATTCAGCAGACTGTAAGTGTGTTTTGAGGTCCGCCTGCTCTTTTATTTATAGCCTTAAAGAGAGGATCTCCTAATTCCATTAGGAGTTTCCTAATCCAAATCTTTTATTTGGATTTTGACTCTCTTTAAGAGATAAGGATAATTCCTTATCTTATTTGTAGATAAAGATCAGCCTTTCTAAACAAATTAGAAGTTTCTGATCCAAATCTTTATTTGGATCTGGACTCTTTAAATGGATAGGGATAATCCCTTATCCTATCTACTGATCCAAATCCCAGAACTGCCCCCTATTTAATTAATTTTATTAAGCCAGTTTGAATTGGGCTTTAGGCCCATTAAGTCTATGTGCTCACTTAACCTCTTAATCTGTTGCCCAGTTGGCTATCCTTATATGGCGTGGGACCCAAACATTGATCTACAATCAGCCACATGGGTTCAGCCCAGCCTTTGTTACAAAGCCTGGCCAAGTTCACTGTATGAGACAGTGAACCCCTGAGTCCATCACCAGGGGCTCTTAATGGGCTCAACATTTACACTAAATGGTCATTGGGTCAAGCGACCTTATAAAAACCCAAGGACTGTGGGCAGATGCAAGATTAGCCCATTAGGTATTACCCTCAATGGTCTTAAACTTAACCTCTCAGCCCATAATGATCAAACACTGCCCGACAAGAGAGGACCTCTCCCTCGGCTGCAAGGAACAGTGCTGCACTCTCTACTCACATGGATCCTGTGAATTAAAACCTTTGGAAACCTTTTTGAAACCATAATATATATATATATGTATATCTCTATGTAAATATATTTTGCAAAAACAAATTTCAACGGTTGAAATCGACTGCCGACAGTTTTAGGTTTCCATCAGAGGGAGTGCATCCCCGACCATTCACTTTGTCCGACAAAGGGGCTGATCCTGTCACTATGATCACCCACTCAGATGAATTCTCGGACTGTCCCAACATACCCAGGTTTTGACCCCCTCTAAGGATCTCACTGATTGGCATATCAAAGACAGCCCATTCCGACACCTAGTGTAGTATCATAATCGAGTCTAGGGGTCAGGTGTAACATTCCGGTTTTGCCCATCTATCTCCATGGTCCAGGGTAATACTGGAATTTTGGTCCGGTTCAGGGTTACAAGAAAACCCACACTGCATGTACCTCAGGTCTCACCCTGGCAGTTGAGACAAGCCACGCTAACCAATTTGGCGGCACATCAGTGTTAGCCTTGGTAGGATAAATCTCCCTAGATCTATCCAACGGCTATGAAGATTCTAAATTAACATGACTCTCATATGTGTCCAGTTTAAGGGTATTACACAGAAACACACCATAATAACATGAATCAAATATGTATTTTATTCATTTACAATAAATGTCATAATGTACATAATTCTGATTGGAACTAAGGGCATACACTTTCTAACAGTTGTAAGTGGGTATTTACAGTAAAACATCGAACTTATGGATCTATTGAAATGTGTGAGGAAAGACTGGTGGCAAAGGGATTCTCTCAAACACATGGTGTGGATTATAGCGAGATTTTTGCTCCCGTTGTCAGGATGAATTCTGTCTTGTTATCTCTAGCATCAACTATTCATGGCCTCTTCATCAGTTAGATGTGAAGATTGCCTTTTTGAACAATGACCTTGTTAGAGCCGACAGTACAAGGGTATTTTTGTCCTTTGTCTATCTAATTGAGAGTGAATAGTCTGTTTTGTTTAAGTTATGTGTCCCATACTTAATGAGGGACAATACTGTCTTTTGTAATTCAGTTATAGAATATAAATAAAAAGTGGGTCGGCTGGGAGAGATGACTTTTTCTCTTCTAGACTGAACCCTTCTCTTTCTCTCTTTCTTCTTCTTCTTCTTCTTCTTCTTCATCTTCTTCTTCTTCTTCTTCTTCTTCTTCTTCTTCTTCATACTTCGGACCTAGAACTGAATAGGATTAATCAACCTATTCACATCGTATCAAAGCAATAAGAAGCCAGTTTCGATTTTTAATCTTTCATCGCCTTCCATCTTCCTAGGATCACCATATCATATATATATATATATTTTTTTTTCTGAATAACTCTTAGACAGATTGGAAGTTTGGTAAAGGGCCAAAAAGGAGTGGTCGTTTTTTGTTGTTGGAGGTAAATATGCCTCTAGTTGCGGTGGTGGTGTACTAAATACCCTCTACTTGATGATACGAAGAGGGATGGTTGTGGACAAGTGTGAACAGAAATTTCTATTCGGACAATAGTGGACTGCAGCTACTTCCTTTTGGTCTGGATTTCATTTATGTGGTAGTGTGGATTGGTAGGTATGCATATGAACCTCTTTTCCTTCTGTTTATACTTGGATATATGAGTTGAAAGTAGGGTTTTCGGGTGCTGAATTCATGAAAACAACAGTGTGGTCATAATTATATTTTGTTGTGTAGTGTGTGGTGTGGTGCTGAATAGTAGAGCATGACTCCTTTGTTTTAATAGTGATTTCTTTGTGAAGTGAGGTGAATCAGTTAGGATGGCATCAACTAGAGATGGTAGTGACAATAAGGAAGGTGTTATGATTTCTCCTGATTACTTAAATGTTCAAATGACCTCTATTAAGTTAAATGAGAGAACTATGTGCCATGAGCCAAATCTGTGGAGGTGTTTTTAAGAGCCAAGAAAAAGGCGAAACATGTGAGAGAGGAGAAACCCCCCTCTGATTCTCTAGGGTTTAGTGATTGGGACAGGAGGATGCACAGATTATGACCTGGTTGTGGAATAGCATGAAACCTAAAATTAGTGTAAATTTTATGTTTCTGGATACAACTAAGGAAATCTGGGACCATGCTAAGAAACTTTATTCCGGCCAAGATAATAACACTAGAGTATATCAGCTTTACCAAGAGTACTTTAATCTAAAGCAGGGTAACCCAATCTTGGAAGAATACTATGCAAGCATGAGAAATCTCCGTAATGAGATTAATGTATATCATCCTCTGACCCCAGATGTTCAAGTTCAGCAACAACAGTGAGAGCAACTTGATGTAACAAGGTTTCTAGTGGGTCTAAAGGCTGAATATGAACCTGTTCGAGCACAAATACTAGGAGGGTCTGCTCTCCCCTTTCTTGAAGAAGTGTTTGCCTGTCTTCGGAGGATTTCTATTGATTCTACAGAGTCTTCCTCTCTCTCGGACATATCTGGTTTTGTGGTGATTAGAGGGAGAGGTTATGGAAATAGAGGTGGTGGAAGTGGTGGCCGTGGGCTTCCATGAAACCGAGGTGGTCCTATGTTTAATTGTTCTAGTGGCCGTAGTGGAGGTCAAGAGTCAGGGGAGGTTGTGGTAGAGGAAGAAATAAAGGAACTAGAAAATGCACATATTGTGGATTATAGGGACATACTGTTCTATTATGATTTACATGGTCCACCCAATACTTGGGCTAATCATGTTGTGACTAGTAGTAGTGGTACAGTTAGTGAAAACCAGCATACTAATCAGACTCCTTCCACATCTACTGGTGCTTCTGGGAAGGAAATGGTGAGTATACCACGTGAGGTATATGAGAAGTTCCTTTAGACATCCTCTTAGCAGAATGCAGCTACTCTTGCCCATTCAGGTATGGCTTTCTTGGCTTCCAAACCCTCACACTAGATCATTGACTCTAGAGCCTCGGATCATATGTCTGGGACTCTAGATATATTTTCTTCATTTTCCCCATCTTCTATTTCCCAAACAGTTACTCTTGCTAATGGTTCTACCTCCCCCATCTGTGGTGTTGGTGATGTTGATTTGACCTCCTTATCCTTATCCTCTATTTTGTATGTACCTAAGTTCCCTTTTAATCTTATGTCTGCTAGTAGACTAACCAAGTCACTTAATTGTTCTATAACCTTTTATCCCTCTTCTTGTGTGTTTCAGGATCTCAAGACGGGGATGAAGATTGGTAGAGGGCATGAAGCAGGTGGATTGTATTACTTTGATGGTGGCCCGCCAATAGCCTTTCAGTCATCTCTTATTCCTCTCCAATGACACTACAGACTTGGTCATCCATCTCTCAAGGCTCTGAAGTTGCTTGTTTTGTCCTTAAGTCATCTTCCACCATTGGATTGTGAGTCGTGTCGGTTTGGGAAACACCATAGAGTCTCTTTTAGTCCAAGAGTTTATAATTGTGTCTTGAGTCATTTTTCTTTAGTTCATTCAGATGTTTGGGGTCCAAATAAAGTGGTGTCATACAATGGTTATAAGTATTTTGTAATTTTTGTTGATGACTTTTCAAGGATGACATGGCTCTATCTTATGAAAGATCGAAGTGAATTATTCTCTATTTTCCAAAAATTTTATGCTGAAATACGTACCCAATTTGGAGTTCATGTTAAAATTCTTCACTCGGATAATGCAAAAGAATACACATCAACACCATTTTAGGAATACTTAGAGAACCATGGGATAAGTCATCAAACTTCTTTCTCTTATACGTCACAACAGAATGGAGTGGCTGAATGGAAAAATCGACACTTACTTGAAACCGCTTGGTCCATTATGATTGATATGGATATCCCAAAGCATTTTAGGAGTGATGTTGTCCTGACATCATGTTTCCTCCTCAGTTAGATGCTCATGTCCATCCTTGGAAGTCAGTCACCTTTCTCAGCCTTGTTCCTTACTCTTTCTCCATTCCCTCTTACTCCTAGAGTCTTTGGTTGTGTTTGCTTTGTTCAGAATTTAGGACCTGGTTTAGACAAGTTAGATGTGTGTGCTACCAAATGCATCTTTCTTGGATACTCCAGAACCCAAAAAGGGTATGTGTTATAACCCTAGATCTCATCGGTCCTTTGTGTGTTTGAGTCAGTTCCATTTTTCTCAAGTACTGAGGTTCCTTCTCCTACTCCTATGGTTCCACTTCCTATTCCAGTTGAGGACCCCCTTCTCATGGTTCCTGTTCCATCCCCACCTTCTCCAGTGTAGGCTAATACTGAAAGACCACCAATAACACAAGTGTATACTCACAGAAGAGCACCGACCCCTCCTCCAGTTCAGACCTTGTTGACAGATCCTGTGGTTGCACCTCCTCCTTTTGACCTTGATCTTCCTATTGCATTGCAGAAAGGTAAACGTAGTTGTACATCTCATCCTATTTCTCATTATGTTTCGGTTGCTCACCTTTCTTCTTCCCATCGCCATTTTATATCTTTGCTATTCTCTATTTCCACTCTTAAGACTGTCCAGGAATCCCTTACCTTTCCAGGGTGGTGACAAGCAGTGGAAGAGGAATTATCTACTTTACAACACAATCACACGTGGGAACTTACTACACTCCCGATAAGCATGTTATTGGGTGTAAGTGGGTCTACACAGTGAAGTATCTTCCAGATGGTAGTGTGGAACGATTAAAGGCCAGGTTAGTAGCTAAGGGCTATTCTCGGTTATATGGTGTTGACCATACGAAGACATTCTCTCTTGTGGCTAAAATTGGTTCAGTTTGGGTATTAATTTCATTAGCAGCAATGTATGATTGGCCGCTCTTGCAACTAGACATCAAGAATGCCTTCTTGCATGGTGATCTAATTGAGGAAGTATATATGGAGCAATCACCAGGGTTTGTTACTCAGGGGGAGGATGGTAAAGTTTGTAGACTTAAAAAGGTAATCTATGGGCTGAAACAATCTCTACGTGTGCGGTTTGTAGATTTAGTGAAGTAGTGAAGAACTTTGGCATGAAGCGGTGTCAAATAGATCATTCTGTGTTTAGCCGTGACTCAAAAGATGGGAAAATCTTGCTAGTGGTGTTTGTGGATGACATTGTCATAACTGGCAATGACAACAATGGGATTGATATATTGAAAAATTTCCTGCAGGATCACTTCCACACGAAGGATCTGGGTAAGCTGAAATACTTCCTGGGAATAGAAGCTGCAAGGTCAAGGCATGGAATTAACTTGTGTCAAAGGAAATATATCCTTTACTTACTTGACGAAACAGGGCTATTAGGTGCCAAACCAGCTGAAACACCCATGGAACCAAATGCTAAGTTAAGTATTAATGCAGGTGAAGAGTTTGATGATCCTGGAAGGTACAGGAGGTTGGTGGGAAAATTGAACTATCTGACTATCACATGGCCAGATATATCATTTGCTATAAGTATGGTGAGTCAGTTTATGCAACATCCACGGATTCTGAAGGGTGCTCCAGGTCGTGGTTTGTTATACAAAAGTGGAGGAACTCTTGAGATAGAAGGGTATACAGATGCTGATTGGGTCGGATCTGTGTTAGATTGGAGGTCAACTACAGGATATTGTACCTTCCTTGGTGGCAATCTATTAACTTGGAAGAGCAAGAAACAAACAGTGGTGGCAAGGAGCAGCGCAAAAGCTGAGTACAGGGCTATGGCTCATACTACATGTGAACTAGTATGGCTGAAAAATTTGTTACAAGAAATGGAGTTCTCAATTGATAGACCCATGAGGTTATACTGTGATAATCAAGTTGTTGTACACATTTCTTCTAATCCAGTCTTCCATGAGAGAACAAAGCATATTGAAGTCGACTGCCACTTTGCAAGAGAAAAAGTGATCGATGGAGTGATAACTATAGCTCATGTGAGTTCAGGAAACCAGTGGGCAGATCTATTTACAAAGGGGTTGTCTCCAGCTTGAGGGGGAGTGTTAGAGCTGACAGTACAAGGGTATTTTGGTCCTTTGTCTATCTAATTGAGAGTGAATAGTCTGTTTTGTTTAAGTTTAAGTTATGTGTCCCATACTTAATGAGGGACAATACTATCTTTTGTAATTCAGTCAATACAATATAAATACAAAGTGGGTTGGCTGGGAGAGATGACTTTTTCTCTTCTAGACCGAACCCTTCTTCTCCTTTTTCTTTCTTTCTTTTTCTTCTTCTTCTTCATACTTTGGATCTAGAACTGAATAGGATTAATCAACCTATTCACAGACCTCAATGAGGAAATGTATATGTCTCAGACTCCTCGATTTCAAGTACAAGACAACGAGGATAAGGTTTGTCACCTAAGGAAGTCTCTATATGTTTTGAAGCAATCTCCGAGGGCATGGTTTAAAAGATTTAACAATGTTATTCAACAAGTTGGTTTTGTGCAGTGCCAGACTTATCACACTTTGTTTACAAAGATAAAAGGTGAGTTGCTGCCATTTTGATTGCGTATGTGGATGGTATTGTGATTACAGGAAATTGGAAGGAAGAAATTCAAGAATTGAAGGCATTTATTGCCTTACAATTAATTTAAGGATTTTGGTCCTATGAAATACTTGCATGGCATTGAAGTTGCTCTGTTTGACAAAGGCATTTTTATTTCCCAAAGGAAGTATATCCTTGACTTGTTGAAGGACATTGGGAAGTTGGGATATAAAGCAACTGAGACCCCTATGGATCCATGTAAATAAACTTGGAAAATGTGAAGATGAAGCAATGTTCGATGTTCATCAGTATCATAGACTTATTGGGAGACTTCTATATCTTTCCATAAAAGGTTTGAAGTAAGAAGAAAAAAGAGGAAGTAGAGAGAAGAAGAATGAAAAAATGGGCTGGTATGGCTCTCTTATAATGGTAATCCACATAAATTACAATGAGATCCTTGATTAGCAATACATTTAACAAGTAAAATTTGCAATTTGATTTGTTTCAACCTTCTCTTTGATTTATGATAACGTATGATTTGAGAACATTGTTCTGAAAATAAGAGATTGAAATATTTCAATATGATGATGATGATGATGGGGAATATTTTTTGTTATTTCCAAAATTACTTTTTCCCCTTTCTTGGAACTAGGATGCATGCATTTGTCTAGTTGAATATTCGTTGCATTAGGATACTCCAAAATATCTTTGATTAGGTGGTATTGGTAAACTTGTGGCAAAAAATACTGGATTAGAACCTCCATTGTGTGAAGAGCTGATTTTTAGCTTACAATTATCCAGATATTGATATGGATTGGCAGTACTCTCGGTCACCTAGATAATCTGCTTCTGCAATAGAACAGTCTGATTTTGAGTTTGAAACAACAGTCTAGTTGAGATTCTAGCAAGAAAGTGGTTTGAGGAAGGCAATGGTTTTAGTTGTTTAAATTTCTCCTTTTCCACGTTGATTGAGTTTGAAACCAGGCTGTTCTACCATAAAAATTTTAAGCACTAGCACTTTCTTTTTTCTATTTAATCGTTTTATACCATTGTTTATTTCTCTTAATTCAATACAAAATTTATATTTTCCACTTCTGTGTTTTATATTTATGTGTTTGAAGTAAGTCTTATGCAAGCAACTGCAATTTTCCTTCTTCGCCAGGCTGCAGCATACTATTATCATGGTTTGATACTTGATGAGGGGAACACAGAGAAATCTCATGGGATGGCTGTTTCTGCTCTGCAAGCAGCAGAGGAGTTTCTCAAAGAGAGTAAGAAGGCCTGTGAGACTTTCAATATGACTCCTCCCCTATCGAGGTAGTTTATTTGGACCTCCTCTAAGCTTCTTAATTATAGAAAATTTCAATAGCTAAATTTACGAAATTTGGCAGTACTCTCTTTTGCCTATATAATCTGCTGCTTCAATAAAACTTACAGATTTTTAGTATGAAACGTATTATGCTTATCTAGGAGCATTGAGTATCATTTTACTTATACTTCATAAATGCCTTACCAATTCTTTGACTATTTGATATGGACTGTTTAATATTTGTCAAGTAGCTCATATAGTTAAATTGACTGGAGAATCTAAACTGTCTAATCTAGAGCTGAATGTGATGAAAGTCGGGAAAAACTCTCCTTTTCTTGTTTTACATGTTACATCCTTGGAAATTCCCACAAATTTCTCAGTCTCAATTGGGATGGGGGGAGCATCATTGTCAAAACATAACGTGATGAAAATTGGGAAAAACTCTCCTTTCCTTGTTTATCAGGTTACATCCTTGGAATGCACACAAATTGTTTGTTCTCAATTGGGGTGGCGGTGGGGGAGCATCATTGTCAAAGCATATATTGGATTGAAGGTTTGAAGGTTAACCTCTCAAAGAGTTTGTTGATTAGAGTTGGAGATATTGAAAGGGGAGTTCTATTGGATTGTGCTGATGCATTTGGATGCAGATTTGGAGAATAACTTTAATTAAAAGTATCCTGTCAAGCTTACGAACCTATTATATGTCTTTGCTGAGGATCCCAACTCAAGTGGATGAAAGAATTGAGAAGGTTCAGAGGATTTCTTATGGGAGGGTATGGGTGGGGAGAGAGGGGGAAAGAAATTTCATTTGGTGAACTAGGACAAGGTCTGCAAATCGAAGGAGAGGGGAGGGCTGGGGTTTAGAAAATTGAGTCTTTAACAGGGCCTTAATTGGGAAGTGGTTATGGAGATTTGGGTTATGGAGAGAGGAAACTCAATTGTGGAGGAGGGTGGTGGTGAAGTATGGGGTTGTAAGGTTTGGTTGGGAACCTAGAGAAGTGAGATCTTCATACGGGGTGAGTGTGTGGAAAGGGGTTATGAGATTCAACAGGGAGTTTAGAAATCTAAGAAGTTTTTGGTAGGGGATGGCTCAAGAATCAGGTTTTGGGAGGATTATTGGTGTGGGATAGGAAAGCTGAATGAATTATGCCCAAGATTGTATAGGTTAGCTGAAGCTGAAGTTCCTATTACCTATTTCTATGAAAGAAGGGGAGATCAGCTGGACGAAATTCAGTAGGCCTTTGCTGGATAGAGAGGTGGAAGAGTTCATTTCTTTGTTGAGGAAGCTAGAAGGTGTGAAAATTTCATCTCAGCTGAGAGATGAGCAATGGTGGAAAGAGTGCTCAAATGGAAAATTCTCTGTTAAATCATGTTATCTAGCTCTCAGCAGGAATAATTCATATTCAAACAAATTAGAAGGTGTGTGGGGAAATCCGGTGCCCACAAGGGTTGAAGCTTTTATGCGGCTGGTGGCAATGGACAGCATCTTGACTGTGGATCACTTGAAATCAAGAGGATGGCTAACAGGTGCTGTTTATGCAAAGAGCAGGAGGAGAATGTGAGTCACTTGTTTTTCTCTTGCAAGACTACTAGTTTCATGTGGAGAATGTTCACTGCTATGTTCGGGGTCTCTGATTTTCATCCAATCTCAACAGCAGAAACTTTCTCTTCATGGACATAATTGAGAGGTAGCAAGAAGGCGAAGGTGATTTGGAGTTTCCTTCCATTTCAATATGTTGGAATATATTGAAGGAGAGGAATAAAAGAATTTTTGAAGACAAAACTTGTAGGTTGGACAGGATAGTAGCGGCTTTTAGCAAATCTGTGGCTGATTGGGTCATGGTGCTACCAGAATTCAGACAAATTGACAAGGGAGAAAAGTAAGGGGAAGTTCTGGGTTTTCAAATTTGTAATTTAGGAAAAAATATTTTAATTTTTGGTAGATTTCTTTGTTGGTTGTATGCGGGTGATGCCTTGTTACCTAATAGATTGTAATCTTTTTTTTATTTTATTTTAACGAAATTTTATTTCACCTACCAAAAAAATAATAAAGATATAGAAAACTTATACTAATCATACTATACAAAACTTATTAATCGAATACTCTTATAATTTCAGTTACAATGACTATTTATGAACACGAGCTTGGATCTCATCTCCCTTTACAAACTCCAAACTCAACTAGGAAACTGAACCAAAAATTCTAATTAGTGCAAAATTAAGGCAAACCTGTAGGGTAATCCATAGGATTCTCAAATAAGGAACGTAACACTTAAAAACAATTCTAACAACACCCTATTAATTCTACTGCAGCTAAACAAACTAAAAACAACTCCAAGAAAAACCTGAAAATAAAACCAAAATTGCTAACTAGTGCAAAATTAAGGCAAACCTGTAGGTAATCCACAGGATTCTCAAATAAGAACTGTAACACTTAAAAACAATTCTAACAACACCCTACTAATTCTACTGCAGCTAAACAAACTAAAAACAACTTCAAGACAAACCTGAAAATAAAATCTTTCTAATCTCATCACAGACTTGCACCCTACAACTAAAATGACCATAACTCTTTCTAAACAGATCAAATTTAAAAGATCTTGGTTTTTGAATAGTAGCTTAATATTAATAATCTATCTAATGACACCAAAATCAAGCAAAGCATACAAGTTTTGACCCTAAAAATTAGGATAAAAGAAAATTACTTGATTACTGATTTAATTTTTAAAAAAGCAAAAAAATGCCTGAACTTTTGATCCTATCAATACAATAAAACCATTAATCTCTTTGTTCTGATCTCCTCTAAAGATTGGCTAGGCTTGTGGGGTCCATGCATATTCCAACTTTCTTATATAAGTTCCAAATATGACATCTGTTTTTTCTTTTTTTTTGTTTTCTTCTTCTTCTTCTTCTGTTCTCCTGGTCTTTTGGCCTCCAAACTAACTTACCATATGGAAGATTCCTGTGTCATTTTGGAAAGCCTATCAAATGACTCATTCTTAATCCAAACTATTTTTGGGTTGGCTGCATGAATCCCATCTTGCCATTTTTCTGTTAAGTTGTAAAGTCCTCAAAACATTTCTTACTTCAGAACTGTTTCCTTTGGTCTTGCCCTTAATCTTTTAGAGTTTTCTATTTGCACCAAGTCTCTCCTTACTGGTGCAGACTTTGGTTGTCTATGTGCATGACCAAACCCTCTGTCATGTCACTGCCAAACCGGTTTGTTTAAATACACACATGCATGTGCAGATTTCCCTCATCTTGTCACTACCAAACCTGTTTGTTTAAACTAAACACACACACACACACACACGCAACTATGGCCCCTGAGCAACTAGTGCACACATAGGAATGCATTTTTCTTCCAAGGAAATGGAAATGTTTTAAGGTCTCAAGTGCATCTCCTGCATGTGGTTAGCTTCAAATCTGTTAATGAGGTTTTGAAGATTTGTGTCTTTCTGCTTTACTGGGAATGTAAAAACTATAAGGTATTTACTTGGGATAAACTTCTATACATTCTAGAACTTGTGTTTAAGTCTTTGTAGCCATTTGTCTTTTCTGTGTTTGGATGTGTTCTTTTATGTATAGAGTATTACCCAACACCTTAGCCTCTTGTTTTAATCAACTTTCTAAAATTTTATTTTATTACTCATTAATACACAGACTAAGGGGCCATTGCTTGGTGTAGTGGTAAAATCATAGACTGACAGGTGTTACAATGCGGGTTCAAACATGAGAGCAGCACTTTATGCAAGAAAATGCCAAAGGTCTGTACCCAGTCCACCCTTTCCGAGAGGCCAAGACCCCAGATGGTTAAGGCCACCAACAATGAACAATGGCACTTTACATAAAAACAGGCAGAATTCTTCTGTTATTGCTCTCTAAAAGAAACCCATCTTTAACAGGAACTGAGAGATGGAGTGACTTAAACAAAAAAGTACCTAATACAAAGAAGTCCCTTACAGGCATGCATTAAAACCTTTGTTGATATATTGCTCCATTTCATTCTGGCTTGAGGGTAAACAGAACTAGATGCACATAAAACATAAACTTACTAAAATTTGGGTATCAAAGAACATAGATCATTAGATCCAATAGGTATGAATGCAAAAATGTAGGAAAATGAGATCTAAATGAAGAAGAATATGAATATGATACAGGAAGTGATAAAATTTAAAATCTACTTTTTATTAGGGTTGTTTCTTTTATTCTTTGAAGAATACGAATATGACATATAATCTGCCATACAAATAGATATGGATGATCCTGCAGTTTCACCAAACTTCCAGTCAAATTTACGATTCTATACATGCTAGAAACCTGGTTCAAAACTGAAATGTCAATCCCTGGTTACAGAGGGGTGACATCTGGTTCACGTGCACAGTATTTTATAAGTAATTTATGGGCACCTCCTAACAGATTTCTTAAACTTAACTTTTCTAATCTGATAATCAAGAGCACACATTTTGAATAATTTCTCTGAGCCCAGTATTTGACCATCTAAAATGTTATATTAGATCAGGTGGCTATGAACTTGCATGCTTAGCTTCAGTGTTGGCACCCGTTGCTTGTACACATGATCATTGTAGTGATATTTTCTTAATATAAAGTTAATCCATCACTTGGAGTGTGACCTTATCTTGCTTTATAGAGTGGATATCACTGTTTTCTGAACCCCAAGGCTCTTTTAGTATATTATTTAAGATGAAAGAGAAAATTTGTCTTCTTATTTCAGGTTAATACTTGAGGAACTCCTTGAACCCTAGTTTAGGGTCCTTTTGGAAACCAGATAATTACGTTAGTCTTCTCTAGTAGTCTAGTTGTAGTCATAAAATTTGCTTTAACTCTTCTGATTGGAATTTGTGTTATAGGAACCCACCTCTTTGGGGAACCGTGAAATATCTATCTGAGAAGATCCCAAAAGATACTTCTAGCAAGGTGCGAATCAACCGTGATCTATACAGTAATGAAAGGTAAAAACTTGTTACATGTTTGATTTTAATCTTTTGATGACCCCCCCCTCCCCCCACCTACAGAGGAGACTTATGGTTGTCTGAGATCTTAGTCCTCTACTGATCCAGACTGCAATTGGTTAGATTAGGTTGCTTCAGCCAATTATTTAATTTTTTAAATTTGATGCCTACCCAAATTCATATTAATTGGAATCTGCTGACCATCTAACACCAGATACAACTGGTGGGCTGGCCTGAATTGGCTCTCTGAAAATTGCTTTGCAATTGGTTCTCAAAATTTCATGTGTTTGGATGTTGAGAATGTTCATCTCTCTCTCTAATGCAGGAGCTGAAGAATCAAAATTGGAATTTTTTGTCTTTTTGTATATTTGGACAGTATGGGTATTTTCATCATTTTGACTAGTCCCATGTGGGCTTGGGCTATAGCATCTTGTTCCCCTATTCTTTTTTTAATAAGCTTAGTAGTGCTTGTCTATAGCATCTTCTTCCTCTAGCTTAGTAGTGCTTGTCTTTCAATTTTCAGTTTGTTTGCATTAGTAGATAGAAAGTTATTGTGTTTTATGCACAAGACAAGGAGTGGCATTTTTGTAATTATGGTGAACAATACTCAACCCATACAAGTCACTCTATAAATAGATGTATTCTCTTCCTTTTGAAGCTAATGAATGAATGAAGATTTCTTTAGAGTTCTCTTGCAAGTTTGCTGTATGGAGTGATTCCTACAAACCCTAGAGTGATTCTAGGACCCCTTGAATGAAGATTTCTGGGTAAGCCAAGATGAGGTCTTAAGTGGTTTAGACTTTTCAGCATCTTTGTGATCCATAGAAACATATAGCATGCATTCAATATCTCATTTTTTGAGCTTGTCTTCTTTTCAGGAGCTGCTCTGTATAGCTTTGAGTTTCCTCTTTAATATAGTCCTATCATTACCTTTCAAAAGAACAAAATTAAAAAAAAAAAAACAATTTACTACAGTTTCTTGGCCATGATTTAGTTACATATGAAAATAGATGCACTGAACAGAACATAATGGCAGAATCTATCAGTTTCCAAGGCACGAGGTGAGGTTAGGTGACAGGGGGGCGCCTTGTTGCCTAGTCATCTAGGTGTGCCTAGGTGATGGATTTTTTTTACATAAAAAACATATATCCTAGGGTTTCATGAGAAAAAAAAAGAATAAAGAAAAGAACATTCAAAAAATATAGGGGCTGAACCCCTATTTTTGTTATAGGAAAAGAAGAAAAGAAAATGTGGAAGAAGAAGAAGAAGATGTGGAAGAAGAAAATGTGTTGATTAGACAAAATTTTGAGTTATTCTTTATTGGTTCAGGTTTTGAAGTCTTGGAGGGTTCAATACAGCAGTTATTGATCAAAACAATAATAGTAATACAGCAGTTAGCAATGTCTGTGTTGATTAAACCCCAACACATAAGAACATGATAAAAAGAAATTAGTATATAAATACACAAAATGAATATTTTAGTCTAATAATGTCTATTTTGTAATTATAATCTAAAAAAATTAAGAATATAAAAGTATTTTATAACACAATATACAAAACTGCTTGGCGATTAGGCGAGGCGAGCCTCCAAGGGTGCCTTGTTGCCTAGGTGGACGCCTAGGCATCGCCTTAACAACTATGGAATTTATGTAGCCAATCTCATATAGACTGGACAAGAGTTAGATGATGATGGTGATGATTGATGATTCAAATGAACTTATGTATACTGCATGCATATGCAAAGAAACAAGCATTTGTATTTGTACATTCCTACATAGACGTACATAGACATAAATTCATTTCTCCGTAAACAAGTAGGGATACATATATATCATCAACAAACATAAATTTTGCTCAAGTTACAGATTACTAATGTAGGTGTTGTTGGTTGTAGGACTATGGAGACTGCACCTCCATTGCCAGATTTTGCTTTGGCACTGAAACCTGATGAATATCAGCTTCCTTCTGTCAGCCTTTCATGGAACGAGGAAAACATCAAGGGTCAAATTGGCTTTAACCAACTCAAGCCTGATAGAACATAAACAAATTGGAAGATTTACCATGCTTTGTACTAAAATTCATGTCAGCAGTCAATTTTCCCCCTTTTCTTTTTTTCCCCACTTTGAATAGCATGGATGGAATGCGAGAGCTTTGTCTACCAGTAAATTGTGGTGTAAAATGTTCATTTGAAAATAGGAAAAAGAAAACAGAAAATAGAAAAAAAAGGAAATACTCGTTTTCTTTCCCTTCGATCAAGTAATAAAACATGTGGCTTTTCTTTTTTTCGTTAGTAATGCATTGATACTAAAGAAATTGATTTATTTGAGCTTTTCAATTTTGAAACATTCACATATTACTCCTTTGGCTTTCCGCAGGTTTACCATTATGTTTAGCTTATTGACATGCATTCAGATTTTTTTTCTCTGTTTTTTGTTTCTTTTTTATTTTTCGGTAGAGCTGTAATGTGGGCTCGGCTGGAATGAAATTGGATTCAGTCCTCACAAAATCGTTCTCACACCGGTGCTCACCGCCACTTGCAGCTGTGCATTGAGAATATCTCCCTATAAATAAAAACATACAAATATGGAGATATTCTAAATACACAGCTGCAAAAGGCTATGAGTATGGTGTGAAGATGATTTTGTGAGGACTGAATCTGGTCTTTGCTGGAGGGGCATGGCCAACTTTTTCTGGCCATTGTAGGGATGTTGTACCTGCTTGGCATGAATCCACCAAAGAGGGGAGTCCAGCACAGCCTAAGGCCCGGGCTACGGGTTGGTATGATTTTTTAAGAAAATTGAAAAAATAATGAAAATTAAAATAAATAATAAATTGAAAAAAACCTTAAAATTTTATTTCATATGAATTTTGATTTGACGTATACAATTGTTTATATACAAACAATAAAATGAACTTTCGGATCAGAAAGCCTTCAAAAGCGTTTATTTGTTGGGTCCTGTGGAAAGCGAGGAACAGCTCTACCTTTTCTAATGAGGCATGGCCTCCCTGGTCGATTCTCACACCCGAAGTTACTTGCTCTGGCGGGAATGGCTAGAAGCTGCCCCTTTACCCTCTTCCCCTTCCCCGTTGCAAGCTCCCCTTGAAGGTCAGTCTGGCGGGTCGTGCCCACCGGAGGCTGTGTTGAAATTGGTTGTGGATGCAGCTTTCGAGTTTCGACCCAGGGACCAGTCTCTGTGGCCTTAGATGTGTGGTCCAGAATTCCAGAGGTGAGGTTCTTTGTTGCAGAGGATTGATGTTTAAAGCTTCCTCTGTAGTTATGGCTGAAGCTCTGCCATGAAGTTTGGCCTCCTGGTCCTGGAGCTGCAAATCTGCAATGTATGATTTCCTCCAGTATTTTGGTGGAGCTAGATAACAAGATTTGGTGGACAGGCTTCGGTGACGTTGATTCTCAAACACATCAAAGCTCTGCTTGTTGCGTTTCAAGTTTTTCTGTGCGACATATTGGAAGAGAAGGAAACAAGCTTGCCCACGAAGCTGCTGCTGCTTGCTGCTAAATCCTCGTCTTCCTTTCTTATGTGCTTTCCCATTGTAATTCCTAATTGGCAATCTATTGTACTTAGGCGCATTTCACATTTCTTATTTTAAGGACTTACCAGGAGACCCGTGCGGTGCACAAAAAAAAAGTAAAGCAAAGAAAATTGATGACTATAATAAGAAATGTAATGTTGTTTAAAGTGAAAAAGAAAAAAGAAAATTAATGGAGTAGAGGAGAGAGAATAAAATGAAAAAAAAAGATAAAAGATAAAATCAAAAGAGTAAATAAATTTTAAGCAATTTATTAAAATAATTGAGAGGAGAGAGAATTAGTAGAGCAAGTTATTAGGAGAAAATTTAATAAAATGATTAATGAGTAGATATAATCAAAGGAGTTAATGAGAAAGAGAAGAGAGAGTTAATTGTGAGTTGAATGAAGAGAGATGAATGTCTTAAAGACATAAAATTGATTGGTTACTTGAGTAATTATGTTCAATTTTAAAAACAAAAAGTCAAAGAAAACAAAAAAATAGATAAATTCTAGGGGAGGAAGGAGAGCCATGCTGACATGGCATGTATTGTTTTATTATATACTAGCCAAGACTCACGTGATGAATGGGCTTTATTTATAAGCAAAATTGAAGATGGAGCTCTATGACATTTCTAATTAAATGGAGACCATGTAAGTTCAATTCAAGTAATATTTTTTGGGATTATATCTAATTTATCCAATCATAATCTAAGGTGGCATTTGATTGCACTTTTCAAATGTCTGAATCTGAAAATGTTGCTCTTCAGACACCTTCTTTGTTTGTTGACCTCTTATTACATTTTAGATCTTAACTTCTAAGAGGTAGAGAGGTTGCTTAATGCGCTTAGACCTAATTCAGAGGTGCATAAAAGACATAGATGTCCTCAAAGAAATTTTAATATTACATGCTTTTGTCCTTCATGTAAATGGAATCGAACCCTCACTGTGACATAACGAAGCTCCATTGCCACCACTGCTGCCGCACTCTTTGTCTCTCTTACTCTCACTCTCTCTCCGCCCCATTCTTTTGCCACTGCCGCTACAACTTGCAGCGACGGTTCTCTCTCTCTCTCTCTCTTCGCCCTCTCTTCCCACCACCGCCACTGCAAGTTGTAGTGGCGGCTCTCTCTCTCTCCCTCCCTCCCTTGTCTTACCACCACCTCCACTGCCACTACAAGTTGCAGTGGCGGCTCTCTCTCCCCTGTCTTCTCTCTCTCTCTCTCTCTCTCTCTCTCTCTTTCTCTTGTCTTCCCACCACTGTCGCTGCAACATCCAGCAACGGTTGTTCGGTGAATAATAATAATATTTTTTATTAAACATTAATTATTTTTTATTAAATTTACTTGAATTATTTATTGTTTATTAATTATTTTTATTAACTAGTAGTTTTTAATTATTTCATTAATTTTTAAAAATTATTTTAATTGTAATTTGTGTAAATTAAGAATTATTTTAATATTTTTATAGTCATTAATTATATTTTTAAATTTAATTGTTTCATTTATTAATTAATAATTAATAATTTAATATTTTTTTTATTTGTATTGTTTCAATATTATTTTGAGGTTGAAAATTATTTTTTATGAGATAATGCAAATTGAACTCAATATTTCCAAATAGTATGTTTTAAGGGTAAAATAGTAAAATCAGTAAATTCTAGATGGTAAAGGGTTGATCCAACACAAACAAACTTATGGATTCAAATTCTCTAAAAAGTAGAAAAGCAACTATGCCTCTCTTCAGATTTCAAACACTTTTAATATCTTTTTAACTTATCAGATCTGAATTTTCAGATTTATCAAACACCACCTAAGTTGCTTTAGTAAGAGTGGCCAATTTCCTATTTTCTAGATAAATTATTATTATTTTTTTTGTATCTTAATGTTAATATTTATTTTTTTTTGAAAATTATTCTTTAGTAATTTTTATTGGTTTTTATTATTTGTGTATTATTTTTAGGTAAAATTATTAAAAAAAATCCTCTTATAACAATTCTATAAACTATCTTTGTATTAAAAAAATCCTCCCCTATAGTTTTGAGGAAAAAAAGTGCAAATTCCTCATTTCCCTTGGCTTTCAGTAACAAAGACATTAAATTTACCAAAATACTATTATCATTGTTAATGCATTACCAAGAATAATTTAAAGTTTCAACTTTACCCTCCATTAATTTATTTTGCCAATCAAATTTTAAAGAATAATTCTCCTTATTCTTCTTAGACAAAGTAAGGTAAAAAGGTTGAAGTGAAGTAAAATTAATGCATTACATCAACATTTTTTATTTGGAATGTTGACAAAAGGAAGGTATTTGCACCTTTTTAAAAGCAATAGGAGAGGTTTTTGTTATGGCCAAAACATTGGGGAGTTTCATAGGATTATTAGAAAACCCAGTGAGGTTTTTATAATTTTCCTTATTTTTAAATGCGATATAAATTGATTTTAAAATAATTAAACTATATTTAAAATCAGTATTTTTTTTATTAATTTTTAAAACTAGTAAAAGTTGAATTTATTTAAGTATATTAAGCTTTTATTAAATTTAAATTCCTTATAAAATTTAATTAACTATATAAATTTTTATTTTTCAGTGGAACTTAAGTTGGTCTTAAATTAATAAAATATTTTTATCAATAAGAATAATTAATAGTTATTTTTATCTTATTTAAGTAACTTACTAAATTATTTTTACTATGCTTAACTAATTTTTATTATTTTCAAATTGGAATATAAATGAAAGTAGATTATTTAGCACAATAATACACCATTGAATATCTTAATTTCAATATAAATTAATATTTAATAATAATTACAGTTACAATGAAATGATATATATATATAGTTCATGTATTTTACGCAATTTAATGGAGATGAGAGAGAATTAGTGGTAAGGAGAGAGAGTTAATGACATAATTAATGAAATATTATTAAAAGAGTTAATGGGGGAGAGAGAGAGAGAGAGAGTTAATGGGGTATTATTGAGGAGAGTTAAAAGTCTTAAAGGTAAATTGGTCACTTAGTTATTTTGTTCAACTTTAAAATTAATAAAAAGATAAAAAGATAAGTACCTTTGAGAAGAAATCAGAAAAAGGATGGGGTAAAATACAAAAACATCCCCTGAACTTTTCGACAATCATAAAACCTCCCCTATAGCTTCACTTTAGCAAAAATTCTTCCCTCTATTTTTGATAAAAAAATTGACAAAACCTCCCTTTCGTCAATGGTCAAGGCAGAAAATCTTAAATGGATTATCAAAATTTTCCAAATGCCTATTTTACCCTTTTGCAAATTAATTTGCATATATTACTAAAATACCCTTATTGACATATTATCATCTTTTCCTTTCCCATTGACCTCTTTACCCTCTTTTATTATCCTAGTTTAAGTTTTTCTGGTTTGAAGAGGACAAATGCACAAGGGTTTCAAGGAACGCAACACAAGCCTCTTTATCTACCTCACCCTGTTTCTCATTTTCTTTCTATTATTTCTATATAGTTTTTAGAGCACCAATCCGACTTAGGAACCAAATACTCAGGGAAAGCAATTCCTTGCTACTATAAACAGTTTTCCCTCATCTTGGTTTTTTCAGTTCATCAACTCCTTTCTTTTGAGAAAGTGTGTTTCCAGCACAATGGTGGGGTCATCCAGAACTGAAAGAATGGTAGGATCCATCTAATGGACGCCAAGAAGGTTGCGGAATGGGAGGGCGAATTTCAAAAATTTTCCTACCTTCTTTCAACTGGGAATCAAATTCCCGAAATTTAGAATTCAATATTCAAGGATCTTACTTGAACCATAATCGA